AATATAGACCTATATATAATTTTAATAATTATATAAAAAAATATATAAACATATAAATATATATAAATACATATACACAAAAATATATAAATATATAAATAAATATACAAATAAATATACAAACAAATATATTAATACATATATAAATATATAAATAATTACAGTAAATATAAAATAATAATACAGTACTGTATATATAAATAAATAAATAAATATATAAATATATATACACAAATAAGTATATAAAAATAAATATATAAATAAATATATGCATATATATATAAATGAATATAGAATAATTATATATATAAATATATATATATATACAAATAAATATAAAAATATATATAAATAAACATATAAATAAATACTGTATATATGAATATAAGAGATGTGTATAAGAGACAGATCTGTATGTACGTATCTGTATTTTAATAACATCTATCAGCGCTGCATACTTTCGGATCGACGATTCGAAAAAGTAACCAAGTCCAAAAATGTATGTACTTCGCATAACTGGACTACACAGGCAAAGTTCCGGTGAAAAAAAAAGATTTAAAATGTATGGCTCGCATGACTCGCTGGCTCGCGCATTGGCTCGCATGACTCGCTGGCTCGCACTTTGTCACGACCCCTAGCGCAATGCCGACAAACGGCGGAAAACGTTGCGTCGTAGTAGCTTGGTTTGATAATCATTCATATTGAAGCTGACCAGATGACTGAACTTATTTTAAGGCAGGTAATTATAATATGGTACAATTTCAACATTGTTACCTTTATATGGCCAACGTTCATCTTTGGTCACTATCCCACTATCTTGGTTTTCCCCATATTAACCTGCAAATCCCACATAACAATAATTTTCAAGGGCATTCAATATTTTTTTGTAACATAAGTGTTTCTGCAAGCAAGACAATATCATCCATGTATTCCAATTACTCACTTCGGTGTCATAAACCTTGATTCCTGCAATACTTTTTGTTCAAGAAAATGCTGAAACTAACATAAATAAAGACATAAACCTAATTTCTGTCTGGGCCGTAAAATGGAAAGTGACATTAACATTTAAAAATCCGCAGCCGCAATGCTATTTACTCTGAAATCACAGATAACAATAATTGAAATGGTAAAAAAGATCAACTTCCTTTCTTCTCAGGGGCGGATCCAGAGATGTCCAGGGGGGCCGAAAGGGGGGTCGAAATTTGGGCCGATCGAGACAACAATGTCCCACGGGGTCGGGGGGCATGTGTTCTAGACGCCCGAAAATAACATTTGAGTCGTTCTGAGCTATCATTTTTTTCTTTTTTCCTTTTTTTTACCTCCCAAAAGGGGAGGGGCCGGGGCCGGGCCGCCCCCCATCCCCTGCTTCTCACAAGCATGTAGGTGTGATCAGTTCAGACTTTTCCTGGAATAGGCCTATTCACATTATAATAGTATATTGAATAAAGCAACATTAAATATGTTATACCGATATAAAACTGTCACGATCAACACTAATAAATATCTGTTTTACATCATCCGCCCATTAATCGAATATACTGCTCCTATTTGGAATAATACTGTATGTTCAACACTTGAGCGAAAAATTAAGTCTTTTCAGAAGTTCGGAAGAGTATGTATAGGCACGGAAACATAAAAGTCACAATGCTATTCGAACAGAACTCGCCTGGCCCCCGCTGAAAGAAAGACGAACTTATTTTAGATTCTGCATTTTCTTTAAGGCCATGAATAACTTAGCTTGCTCCTTCTTACATAATAACTCTTTTTAATAGGCCTGTATTCACAAATGTTGCGATATATAATCTACGCAATTAGGCCTATAAAGAATATAAGAGCCCCACACCCAACAATCCTTCGTTCCTTCTGTTATTACAGCATGGAACAACCTAAGCATTGAAGCCCAAAACTGTCCAACTTTAAACCTATTTGGTGATGAAAATACAGTGATCATATCGTATTATGATACTGGTATAAAAGGAAACACATAAAATCCATAGGCCTACCAAAATCAAACTGGGTTTCAGCAGTTTGAATGTCCATCTTTTCAATTATGGACTTCATACCGATCCACTTATGTCCATGTGGTAATGGCGTAGAAGATCCATTACACTATTTTATCAAAGATAGAAACACCAGATAGAGTTCTCCACACAAAAAAGTGTTCCACCGAAATGCATGGTGGGATTACAAACAAAGAGTACTACGGGATCTAAAAAACTTCTGCCAAATTTTACATCACGGTGAATACGCGGGTGTCGATTTGATTTTTTCCGTACGAAACATTTGCATGAAACTCCACTTGGGCCGTCTCGATTGACTCGACTCGAAAATCTTATGATGCAGAATTCAGGTCAAATATGATGTTACCATGCTAATATTACTAATGGGCTGTTTAAAACGACAAAGGCAATATTTGATTGAGCTGCACAAGTAGTAAAAATGTTATTTGATCTTGAGTTGCATACTATGAATATCTTTATTTTTTAGTTAAGCCTAGGTTTTGGATAATTAAGTAGGCCTACTAAAATTATACATAAATAGGCAGAGTTATTATTATTATTATTATTATTATAACTCTGCCTATGTATAATTTTAGTAATAATAATAATAATAATAATAATAATTTGTAAAGTGCAAACATCACCACTAAAATTGGTGCTCAAGGCGCAGTGTCAAAACAACAGGTAGAGAACAAACAGGAATCACAAACAACAAAGAATAAAATAACAGGCACAAAGTGCAGAATCGTATATATATATTATATATATACTTTTTAGACCTATGTGATATAAACAGTATGACCTCGCTAAGATAGCAACAGATTGTGTGTTCGATTCCCACCAGACTTTTTTTCATAACTATAAGGAACTTCCGTTGATGAACTATGTTGATACGATTTATAACATCATGTTCCTTTATTTTTGAGAACCTGTC